AGCAGCAGCAGCAGCAGCAACAGCTGCTGCTGCTGCAGCGCCGCTTTGCCTCCGTATACGCCTAAACAGCAGCACTTCATTTGCAGTGTCTGGACACGTTGAGATTGCCGTTGCTGCTGCTGCTGCAACGCTTGCTGCTGTTGCGCTTGCTGCTGTTGCTACTGCAACGTTTGCTGCTGTTGCACTGTGCCTGCTGCTGTCGCTACCGCTGCTAAAATTGCTGTTGCTGCTGCTGAAACGCTTGCTGTTGTCGCACTGTGTCTGCTGCTGCCGCTGCTACTCTTGCTGCTGCTGCTGCATTTCTCGCTGCTGCTGCAGATGGCGCTGCAGCTGCCGCTGCAACGTATAGTGCTGCTGCTGCTCCTACCATTGTCACAACTGCGCCTGCGAGAACTGCCACTCCCAGTATTGCAGCTGCTGCTGCTACCGTTGCTGCTGCTGCTGCTACTGTTGCTGCTCTTGCTGCACTGCTGCTGCTGCTGCTACAGCGGAAATCACTTAAAGATGAAGTCATGAGGAGGCCCTTATTGTCTAAAATGAGGATTTGTGAGGTGTACAGACACTTCACTTCCATACAAACGCAAACTGACTCGCTGCTGCTGCTGCTGCTGCTACTCGGACAGCCGGGCTAGCCTTACGGGGGCTGCTGCGGAGCCCTCGGGGGACCCCGGGGGGCCCCCCGCTGCAGCTTCTTGCGCAAGGGGTGCCCCTAGGGGTGCCCCCTGGGGAGCAGCGCCCAGCGGGCCCTGGGCGTTCAAGCCAGCAGCCTCTGGGGGGCCCCCCAAGAGGCCCCCCTGAGGGCCCCCCAGGGGGGTCCCTATGGAGCCCCCAACTGCAGCACGGCCACTGAAGTGAGTTGACAGTGCAGGTGCTGCACTTGGTGTGGGAGACAGACTCACTATGCTGCTCAAAGGGGCCCCTTGGGGGGCCCCCGAGGGGGCCCCTAGGGAGGCCCCTAGGGAGGCCCCTGAGGGGGGCCCCCTTGAGGTGGGGGCCCCTTGGGGGGCCCCTGAGAAGGTTCCTTGAGAAGCTGAGGAAGCGGAAGCCTTCAATGCTGCTTCAGCTGGCCCCTTAGTCGAACCTTCTGGAGGCTTCTGGGGGCCCCCCTGGGGGGCCCCCAGGGGGCCCCCTTTGGAAGCCTCAGCTGTCAAGGCGGGTTTAGGGGAGTTTGGGGGGGCCCCCCCTGGAGTGAGCTTTTGCAGCTGCAGCGGCTGGGGGGCCCCCGTAGTGGCAGGAATGCTTGGCCTGGGGCTGGGCGAAGCAGCAGCAGCAGCAGCAGCAGCAGCAGCAGCTTGCGAGCGCAGCATTAAGCTGCTGGGGGCCCTCGTGGAGGAAACAGAAAGGCCCCCGGAGGTGAGGGGCCCCTTGGTGGGGGCCCCCACTGCCCGGCTCCCCAGGAGGGCTGAGGTCTGTGGGGAGAGTTGCTGCTGCTGCAGTTTGTGCTGCTGCTGCTGCTGCTGCCGCAGTTGGTGCTGCTGCTGCAGCAGCAGCTGGTGCTGCTGCTGGCGCTGCAGCAGCATCTGCGCCGCTGCGTCCTTTTGCTGCTGGGACAGCGGAGGGTCAAAGAAGCTGGCCGAGGAGGGGGCCCCCGGGGGGCCCCCAGAGGGCCCCCC